CGTTGCCAGACCCCGATCGTCTTTTTAGTGTCGTCTGTGACGCTTCGGACTTTGCCATCGGTTGTGCACTACTGCAAGCAGACTCCGAGGGCGAGATCGGATGATCGCATTCGAATCTCGCAATTCTCTGGCTGATGCATTGTCGCGCAGACCAAATCATGAGCTTGCTCATGTCACGACGGTGACGTCGTCAGTGACGGATTTGATCCGCGCCGCATACGTGGGTATGGTACGTGTATTGCGCTGCTACAGGCTCTCGGGAGTAAGGAGTTTGGAAACTCGTACAAGAAATTTTCGGCGCGTTTTGCGCGCACGTTTCCACCGATATTCGTTGATTAACGGGTTGCTGTATCATAGCACCGATTCGAAGGATACGCCACGAATTGTGGTTTCTCACGATGAGACTTTAAAATACCTATCCTCTATGAGGCCCACAACACCCAACTCAGTGGTCATCTCGGTTGTGAGAAGACGTACAGCTCTGTGAGGAGCCACTACTGGTGGCCCAAGCCGAACAAATGGACGAGCACATATGTGCGCACTTGTGAGACAAGTCAAAGGATGAAACCCTTTCCGAATGCGGCAGCACCGCTGGCCATATTACTGGTACCCTCCGGGTGTTAGCAGTCCACGAGTATGAATTATGTGTTTGGTCTGCCGAACGACTCGGCGGGCAACACGGGTGTGGTGGTCTTTGTGGACCGTTTGATCAAGATGGCTCATCTTGCGGTAGTGCCAGACACCATCACCAGTGTGGGTACATCGACGCGGTATGTAGATCGTGCCATTCGACGACATGGCCTTCCGGAGTCAGTTGTCTCTGACACAGACTCACGCTTCACTCGGAAATTTTGGTCTACACTCTTCAAGGTGCTGGGCACCGATTTGACTATGTCAACAGCGGACCATGTGAAGACTGATGGTCAATCTGAGCGCGTGATTTGTGTTATGAAGACGTTCTTTGCAGCGTCTGCTCTGAGATGCCGAAGCGCTGGAGCGCCGTGCTGCCACTTGTAGAGTTTGCTCTGAACGATGCAGTGCATGCGTCTACCGGCTGCACGCCGTTCTACGTAAACGGGCTTGTTAATTCTCGCGTCCTGCTGACATCGCCATCCCATGGCTCAGGGCTTAATGATGGAGTAATTGCCGAACGGCTAGCTGATGTCAGTCCCTCACTGTCCGCAAAGAAGTCGATGACTTTCTGTCTACCCGACTGAGTGTCTACGACACGCTCGCGATGCGGATGGCTGAAAGCCAAGGCATGCAGAACGAATATGTAGACGGACGTAGCAGAAGAAATGTTGAAACCATTAAGGTCAAAGACCTAGATTTACTAAATGCTAAAATCCTTCCTACACATGTAATCTCTGCTGTCTTTAAGACGAAGCCCCGTCCACGGTTTTTCGGACATTTTAAGGTCGTAAGCGAGCGAGGCGTTGTGTATACGCTAAACCTTCCGAGAAGTTTGCGCACCCACCCGGTGTTTTATGTGGTTTGCTTAAGCTGTACCGGGATCCGGCCAAGTGAACGCGGAAGCGTTGGCACCGGGGTGGCACCCATACGCGCTCGGCCACCCATAAGCTGAACCAGCAACTGAGTCTAAGCACGAAGTGCAACAGTTTCCGTTTCCAACGGCGTCGGGCTCTCCACCGTCACACGAAGTGACGCATTCGTCTGCTCGACAGCTAGGAGCCGCCCCGATAGAGCGCGATAGACCTTAACGTGAGGCAGTCGGTGCACAACATGCTATAAGCTCTCGAGGTCTCCCGCACAGCGGTATGCGACCTCGGCAAGATGCTCAGTGGAGTGCCGATAACAACAGACTTTGTCCTGAAGATCTCGAAGAGGATCCCGAGTCACCTGACGTCGATCGACCACGTCTTCATCGTCCGCCGCCGACTCATCTCGACAAGAACGGTGGCGTCCACTATCACGTGGAACGCCTTTTGGGTCGACGTCGTGGACAGGGTCAAATCAGGTATATTGTGAAGTGACGGGGATACCCAAACTCCGAGAACACGTGGGCGTTTGGGGTGCCACTTCGGCAAGACTCCCCAGACGTCTTAGACGCTTATGATCAGAAGGATCATGACGCTCCGCGTCGTCGTGCGCCCCGCGCTTCTCGGAGGTAGCCCGGGAAGCCGTAGGGTCATGAGCTGAACTCAAGTTATGAACATGAGCTGCCGTGGTCGTAGACTCACCCGTGTGAGAAACCACAGAGCTCGCGGGAGCGTGATGGATTATTCCATGTGTGACAGGTCGACAATACGCAGGAAGTCGGCGTTGCGCCTTGAGTTTGCCAAACCCGAATCGAAGATGCGTTCTTCGCGCACGTCCACTTCCTTGTGGCTCCGTTGTAAGTGAGACAGCAAGGACAGTTTCCGGTGCCGCTGCATCCATCGCTCAAAGAACTGTTCATCATCTGCAGCGGTTTCGCCAATGGCGAGCACCGCAGGAATAGTCCGCATTGCGGGTACAGGACGCCTCCTCATTGAGCTCGAAGTCGAGCGCGGTACCTATCCACCGTGGTTCTTGAGGCTCCACGAAGCGAGTTCGGAAATCTTTCCGCTGGTCAAGCTCAGCTTGTGTATTGGCCACTACGTAGACGCCTAACGATCGACTGATCGCGTCTTTCGCTTCAGTAGTGGGATCCGTCGAGCGGAAGTCAAATTTCACACGAGGATATAGGACCGAACGTGGATACGAGCGTATGAGAGCCGCCCTGTGGGCAGCCTCCAACTGCTGCTCCTGTGCTTCGTCGAGGCGATAGGTAATAATAACACTTCCCACGGAAGTCGAGAGGTCGAGGAACGGACGTGTTGTCCGCAGCGCTTGTAAAGAACATAAGGTAGGTGACCTAAGTTTGGCTTCCTCCAAGCAAAGAGATACAGCAGCCCCGCTGAAGAATGCGTGAAGACAATCCAGGGACGTAAAGGTGTTTTATACATGCGAGCCTCGCATGAGGCGACAGTTAAATGTGAACTATGGGTATTTGCAGTTTGATGGGGGAGAGTGTAGCACGTACCGTGATAGAAGGGTGGGTCACACAAGATGGGGTGACCGTACAAAGGTGTGGAAAACAAATTAATACAGTGTCAATTCTGAACGGAAAAGCACCTTTGCCTTGGGTACACTCGTACTGTTTCTGGTATAGAACGTAAGATGATGCCTTAAATCAGTGCGGATTGAACGATGTGCTTCACTGAGATATCTGTCATGGAAATGTCTTCGCGATGTAGTGTATATTTCAATTTCTTCTGAAATCAATGCATGTGGAACAGATTTAGACGGAGTCTGACACAGAAAATTAGAGAAGATATACCTCTCTCTCAATATCCACGTACGAAGACTGCGATCAGGTGAAAAAAATTCTCCTGTATCTTTTTAATTTGGCAGAATAATTATGGTAGGTCATATAAATATTAGGAAGAATAGTTGACAGCTTAAGGTCTACGAATGAGTCACGTTCTATTTCAACTTTCAAAGCGGCCCAGGAAGTAAGCTAATCGAAGCGTAATTTTATGAAGGGACTTGACAGTACAAGAAGTCTTTACTTTGACGACACATTTTTGTAAACGCTAAGAAGACTGCTGTTGCTGATGAAGTTAACTTGAACATCGGGTACCACATGGGCTGGACGGTTTTCAATTCGTTCAACTTGAATAATTACTTACATTATAATTGCACTTACCACAATAGAGCATGTACACTTCTCTCTATTTAATATGGGGACTTTCAAACCACACACCGATTGGATACTCATTCCCTTTTGGTGGCAGCACGTTAGGAGGACCGACGCTTTTGAGAATGTTGCGCATTACATCAACTTCCAATCCGTACTTGTCTGCAAGAACTTCATGTGTCCATCCTTGAGGATTTTCATAGTGTAGACGTAATAATGTGCGCAGATCTCTTGACGTCAGTCGACCGCAAATCTTCTCTTCGTCTATACCTCCAATACCGGTGGAAGACGCAGCGCTTGTCTTATCAGTTGGGAGTTTAATGGGCTGTGATGACCGCAGTCGGTAGCTGCTAGCAGTAGACTCAAAAGATCGTGTACTCTGTTCAAGAAATCGAACGTGATCGTACTCGTCAAGCTTCTGAACATTGTGCAATAATTGCGTCTGCATTTCCATCGGATTCACATTCGAACTGTTTAAATCGGTGGGCGTAGAGGTCTCAGTGACATTAAGTTGTGTAGTACTGCCACGTGATAGAGCGACTAGATACTCCAGTGACATGTTCGTACGGATCACGCGGTTGCGCAAAACCGACGTAGCTGCCGACGAAGTTTTGCTCGTCGAGCCTCCCATATCGATCAATAATTCGTACTTAGAAATCTTTTTCTTTTTTTTGGTTTTAAGTGTGCTAGCTCATTCTACCAAATCTGTCTTGAGTATTTGAGTAGTGATACCGAAGACATCCACGTTCCCACACTGTTATCTCTCCTTCTTTACATGCCAGTTGGACTAGAAGACTAAGGAGGCTAATCGGATGTAAATGTTCCCAATGAATGCCGCGAGCAGCACAAGGGGTTGCGAAAGAGAACTTAAGCTTGTCCGAAAGGTTTTGTCACATGACGTAGCTTCATTTCCGTGTTGTCCAACACATTTGCTTACCTTTTTCCAATGCCGATGAATACCATCTCGTATTTGAAATTTCTGGCGTCTGACGTTCAAAATCAGTGTCAGGTACGAAATTTACGGGTTGATGAACGATTTCGGCATGTGCTGCTGTTGTTGCTTAGTACCAATCAAAGAATCCCCAAAACCTGGCGGCGGACGCGTGGGCGCCTGTGAAGTAGCAGAATCTTGCGTTTCGGTCTGAGTTAAAGGCGTCGAGGTACCTAAAAATGCGCTTAAACTCGACGCTCTTTGCTGGTAAAGCGCTGATTCGCGTTCTACAGCTGCTAAATCAGCCATTGACGTGAATGAGAATTTCTCGTCGCTTCGGTAGCTGCTTGGAAAAAGACTCTTTTTACCATTTAGATCTCCACCAAAGGCACTAAAAGGCATCAAAAAATTTGTGTCTTGTCCACTCGTTGACATGCTTAACCCTGTGTCAAGCGAAGTAAACCCATTCAAGTTGCTGAAGCCGACGCTCTCACCACTACTTTTCCAACCTGACAACATGGACTGGCTTAAAAAACTGTCTCCATCATTGTACGTATTCAAGCCTGCACAACCCGGAGATGCACCAAAAAAGCTACTACCAGCACCAAATGCACTGATGTGATTGAATTTTGCACGATCTTGTTCATCAGCTGGAGATATTGAACTTGGTTCTCGAAGGCTGAATGCACTTCCGCCAGAAAACGATTCCAAGGCGGAGCTCATTGATTCTCCATATTGCTTGGTTTGGCTCTCCATCATTTCTCTTCGAGCTAGCGATGGCTGATATACGATAACTTCATCCTCAAAATCGTCATCCTCATCCACACCAGTCCCAGCACGAAAGTCTTTGTTGAACAACTCTTCAGTACGTTGTGGCTGCTTAGAGTTCCCAATCGGAAAAGAACCATATTTCACAGGAGGGACTGCCTCTTGGACACTGTTGTTCTGCTGAGTGTTTGATTTGTCGGCAAATGTCGTGAAGTTCCCTGACTCATCGCAAAACATCAGCGAGTTCCCTCCATTGTATTCACACAAGTAGCGTGCAAAGCGATACAGTTTCAACGCACGGATTTTGGCAGCCTCCATATCCGATAGGGGTGCCGCTGATGACGCATTTTTCGCTCCTTTAACAGAGGACTGTGGCTCCCAATCGTCCTGTCTCGTAAGCTTTGACACGGTTTGCTCAAGAGGTGCGAATCCTCGAAGTTCAATGCTTTCCTTCAAGAGATATTGGCGGTCTATGACCCCATCACCACTTTGCTGCCCATTGCCAAGGGTCAACGATGCATGAAGCTCGCGGATTCGAACGTGATTGACAAGTTTCGCAAGCATGTTAAGAAAAGCTAAAACGAAATGGTCTCCACTGGTTCCTTGTTCGCTGGTGATCACATCGCTATAAAGTTTCCTTTGACGAGATGCTGAAAGCTTTTCGGTCAGTTCCTGCAAATCAGAATGCAATTTTAGATAGTCACAAAAGACAGCTACGGGACCTGCAAGTCGAAATTCCGAGATTGCTGAGTCCTTCGATTTCATGTCAAAAATATTCACAAGAAATTCCATTACACTGGTGACCATACGGATCGATAAACGGAGTGCATCTTCAAGTAGCGGGCGCGATTTCGAGGCTCGTATGATACAAAAGATGTTCGTCACGACGATTTTAAGCAGTAATGCGTCGCCAATAATTCCTGCTTGTAGCAGCATCTGCATATCTTTGAAAAGTACGGTCTCCATATCACGTGGATATATTGGCATTACTTCATCACTGCATCGACCTTTCGACGTTGATAAGGAATCATGTGATGACGATAACGCAAACAAAATACCATGCATACGCGTCAAACGATGCAAGAAGCTCTTTAACAAGGCCGACTTCTCCTTCGACGAAATCTGTGACGATGTCAATATAGTCGGAGCGGCCAAAGGACGTTGACGACTTCGCTCAAATAGTAAAGCAAGATTTTCCTCAGCCGTTGTAAATGGCTGTGATGTCAGTAAGCTACGGCAGTACCGATATACTGCCACAGTTTCCGCTTCCACATATGTAGCCAGCACTGCTAACTGATTGTGCGGATTCCCATTCTCTGGTAACACTGTCAACGCACGATTATACAGAGCTTCTGCTGCTGCAAAATTCTTTTTGGCCTTTTGACTATGCAACTCTCGGTAACGCGCCAAATCACCTAAGAAAACGTAACAGCGATGCAAACTCTTGCGACAGCAGGTAATGGCGTCGCTGTCGTCTTGAAGGACGCTCAAGCGCTTGAGCTGTAGCCACGATTCATAACGATCTCTTAAATGCGCATAAAAAGCCGCAGATTCATTAAGAAACTGCTGAAATTCGCTGGATACGCGCGCGAAATGCTCACGCACATTGCGGTCTGTTTGAGCTGCTACTGCATATTTACGAATGCGCCGTCGAAAATCCTCAATGCGGCGGTAAACACACGGTTTCCATAGTGCCTGCTCAACTTCCTTGCTGGCTGCAAATGCGGGATGCGCATCTGCCAAATGTGTAGCAGCATCCATCAGCCGGAGCCGCAGAGCTTCGGCATCCTGGGCTTTAAGTGGGTTAGCACGCAGTAGATCTCGTAGCTGCTTGTCCAGTACCACCATCTCCCTACAGACATAAAGGCATAATAAATGTGGACAAGAAGGGGGACAGAAATGCAGAAATTGGGCGTACACGTAGATGCGGCGTGGGTCCATTGGCTCAGTTGTGAGGGCGTCAATATAACTTCGGTTTCGAAAGCCACATTGTTGTCTTCGTTTTAATATACAACGAAAAGAAACCAAAACGTTTAATTTTTAATTCTATAATAGATGAAAAAATTGTCAGGAAGCAAATTTTTCAAGTTATTTCGAAAAACTCAAGCCTAGTTAGAAATTTCAGAAGATAAATAGATCAACTGGCTTATCAACACGTTCGACTCTTTATAGAAAGTCGTAAGAAAGTTGTAGAACAGATCTGCAACTTGCTTGCGAAAAAAACGGATGATTCCTAGGCGGCAGCTCACGATTCGATGTTGCCGTGCACCTTGCATAGAGAAAGCGTTCACGCAATCAGTCGGCGCTTACAATTGTGTGACCATGGCTACACCTGGACTGCCTATAGCTCTGTAGGTCTAACTATTTCATAACGAAAACTTTTAGATTTAGATATAGGCGACTTTGCCGCAAACAAAACAAAGAAATACAGTTTACATTTTGAGCGGAAGATTTTATTTGCCTTGGCTTAAGGTCATGGTTACTCTTGGAGTAAGCAGATGCGGTCCGCTACACTCGTACTAGTTCTAGTATCGAACGAAGGTCGGTGACCTTTAGTTTATCTTCATCTAAGCGAAAGAGCTACAGCAGCCCCGCTGCGGTCTTAGTATCTACAAAAAGTACCCTTTATGCTGCAACAAGCGTGAGGCTAGAAGCTCACGTGTCGCTTTTTCCGATTACTACTCCCAATCGTATTAAAATTTGTCATGAACCTCATCACATCGCCCATACTTTGATATTTCTGAGTTTGACTGTGGGTAATAGTGTAAGGTTTACGTACACCATAATAGGTATGTACATTAATGCACCCTCCCTCACCACAATGGTTTCCGCGCTAGAGTAACACCCATTTTGTCTTCTGAAATATTGTGCAAAAGAGAAAGCTTCGGAGGAACCATCCGCGCCGGAATTGCTTCACTTTAACAGTGCCTGCAGTCCCGAGCAAAATCTGCAGAGGCATCGGAATGTCTCTATCCTACGTGCCCATATGAATCTCGTCGTCTTTGCCTGAAAGGGTGAAGGGCGGTCTGAGCCCGATGTTGCGGTTGCGGACCCCAGGGTTAAGGCTCAACACGGGGACAGCGCGGCCAATCAAAAACCGGCCTGAGCAACAACTTATGGTTTCGAATTGCTAGCTTCATACACCCAATAAGGGACTTTCCAACACCAATTAACAAGTAGATCCGATTGAATTTACTTCGAGACGCTGAAGTAACTTTGTATATGCTATCCGATGTAGGCATAGAGGAGTAAGTCGTATCTAATAACACAGACAACTTGAACTCAGGCAAACTGACGGGTTATATACAAAAGAAACTCCAAGCAAAAAAACAACACAACAACTTATGCACACGCATTATCAGGACATACAATGCAGATATGCTTACTTGCACTGGCGCACAGCTTGACGAGCTGCGCAAGTACCCCGCCCTAGACCTACTCCATCCGTTGTCGCTTATCTCCTTTTATTGGTAATGTAATGGGCTACACTTAGCCATCATACGAAGGTTATAAATGTATCTTCTGTATGTATTGTGGGAATAAATAAAAACAGATTACAGTATGGTGCTCCGAAGTGCATACCGGATTTCTTATATGAAGTCATACACATTCTGTGTGAGACAGAATGCTGGTCCCTACTTGGGGAACTGTACTGGTGACGAGACCAAAGTGTCTCTGTCTTTGGAAGTGGGTGGCGTAAGCCAGTCCCTTCTACTGGATATCCTCCACGAAAGTTGAGGTTCAAGCTTTCAAAGTTCAAGCTCCGTACACTCAAAATCTTTTATTAGTTGAAGATGATCTCTTGTGGTGTTTTGCATGTAGCCAGGAACCATCACTCATTTTAATTCAGTTGCAAATTTACCTTTAAGGTTTTAAGTCGTTCTTCTTCCCTCCAAGTCGGGACTGTCCTTCTCCCTCCACGTCGAAAATCTCTTCCTCGACGCACAAGCGTGCGTGTTGTGTTTTAGGGACTGTTTGTGAACAGCGTTCTCTTACACCAACCAAGACGACGGGTGGGGAATCTTGACTAGACGGTCGTTGTCTGTGCCCGAAAGGGTGACGGGCAACCTGAGCTTGATTTCCGGACTGGCCACTGCGGTTGATGGACCCAGGGCGGAAGCCCATCACAGGGATAATGTGGCCAAGATGAGTCCGAGTCCCCAGACAAGTCCCCAGCGCAAGGCCTCCCCCGAGGAACCCCATAACCAAGACAACGGGTCGAGAATCTCGACTAGACGGTCGTCGTCTGCGCCCGAACGGGTGACGGGCGACATGAACCCGATTTCCGGTCTGGACGTTGCCGTTGGGAACCCCAGGATTGAGGCCCGACACAAGGATAGCGCGGCCAAGGATTATGCTCATGCACGAGCCAGATCGGATGCAGGCAGGCCTACTCAGCGCCACCGACTCCGGTAGCGCACAGCCACACAACATCACGTCGCGCACCCCCCCCCCGAACGTACGCGTTGCTCTCCAGCTCTAGCTGAAAGAGCTGAGATCGAGGCTATACACGACTGCCGGGGCCTCGCAGACGCTTATGAATACTTGGTTCGTTGCAGATTCGTCTGAGCCATCGTGGCTTTCCCACAAGCAGCTCATCGAGACTGAGAACCAAACTTCCATAGACATTGTGGATAGATACTTCGCCCGCTACCCTGGTCGCGACATTAGCTACCAAGCGTTTGTGGCTCAAGACTGCCGCGCCCTCCTTGCCATGGCCAACAATGATGATAGCTCATGTGTTGCGCATGCCATACAAATGGACATCTGGAGTGAGTATTTTACCCAAGCGAACAAGGCTGGCGTTCCGGTGACCATGGTTCAAGAAGGCTGACCAGATCGTTCGTTACTGTGGTCGAGCGGTTTGCAAGACCGGATGGAGCATTCATCTGGCCCAGCTCCAGCGTAACCTCTTCGACGGCCACGGTGCCGGATACATCGCAATCGCTCAGCGGGTGCTACCGATGCCTAACGTAGTTCTTCACCCTGGCGTCTACCTTGTTGGGGTGTTAAAAAATACATGCGGGTCACTGCTTTGCGATGCAGGCCACCAGTCACGAAGGAGTGATAATCCGTGAAAATGGCGCTAACTCTGGCCTAGGCGAC